TCACGTGCGAGAGCCAGAGAGCCTTCTGCTGGTCCCCAGGCGGTCAGCTCACGGGCCCAGCGGGCACCCACCAAGGGAAGGGAGCGGGCTTGCCGGGCCAGGGGACGTGGACCATCTCCTTTGGACAGCACTGCACCAGCAGATCAGCTCGGATGCTCGCAAAAAATGCAACGACAAAGAAAGCAGTAACATCAAATATCTACAACCATCTTTCCCACCAGCAAGCTAAAATTTTATCCCAGAAAAGCTGAACCAGGGACAGCCAATAGATAAGCGCAGGGAGATACAAAGACAGAAAAACGCACTAGACTAGGTTCCTACCTGGTATATTCACGCAGGTTAATACATTAACTTTCTGTCCAGCAGCACCTTAGTAGTTTGCTCGAACTACTGAGTTTGCTGAATCTCACAGAACAAGCCCTAAAAGCACAGGTTCTTCAGGTTGATCTTTTATTTTTCACAGCTTAAACACGGTCACAGTCCTCTGCGAATCAGGTTTAAGGTACAGAGCTCTCCAGACTGCACAAACATCCTAAGAACAAACATTTTCAGCATACCAAGGGCTCAGATACCTTTGGTCAATCCAACGGTGTTTATTTGTATTTCACCCAAATCACCGCTGAAGTACTTGGAGCTGAAGGAGCGACAGCCTCCCACTGATTCAGCAAGAGACCAGAAGTAATTGGTAGACAGTCTACAAGCACCGCAAAGAATGCCAGAGGCATTTATTTACATGACCCCTGCTTGCCCAAGGAGAATTCAGAGTTTGCATTTTCCTCATTCAAATTAATCATTACTAGAATTAAATCCTCCGTACAATTCCTCAGCTAACAGGAGGAACGGCACAAACCATCCAAAATCATCCCCACAACAAAACTTTGCAGTTAGCTGTCATTGCCGAAACAAGACAGACAGTTTTACTGCTGTCAGCTGGAGTTCCTCCCCAGGCTGGCACAGCACCCTGGTACCTCTCCAGGACAATCTCTCTCGTTATCCATCCAAGGGACGTGGAAAAGGCAAGGACA